GAGGAGAGCCGGGGCTGCCGCTGCGCCCCTGGGCGCCTGGAGACCTTTGCCCCCTTCCTGCTGCTGCTGCTTCTCCCCGCTCCTGGACGTGAACCTCTTCTACGGCTTCTTGTACCTGGCCCTCTACGCCCAGGTGTCCCAGTCCAAGTCCTGCGACAAAATCTCCTGCTTCTCGGGTCACTGTGTCAACTCCACCTGCGTCTGCGACCAGGGCTGGGTGGGAGACCAGTGCCAGCACTGCCAGGGCAGGTTCAAGTAAGTTTCTGATCTTTACAATTCCCCTTTTTTCTTCTCTAGACCAGTGCTTGCCTTTTTTGTGTCATCATTAGTTGTGGGTGGGTTTTTTGTTGTTGTTGCTTTTTTTTTTTCTGCTGTGTCTGCCGTGGTTTTGTTCGTGTGTGATGGAAGTATGTGACAAAAGTTAAGGATGAAATAGGCCTCTTCACCTCATGGTCCATCCCTCTGAAAAGAGAGGAAGTAGTCCTCAGATGGAAGAATGTACCTGGTGACTGACTTACACCCGAAAATAGGCTACCCCTCTTGATAGGAACTGAGAGGCAAGGAGAAATCGGCCTAACGCTGTGTCACTGCTGTCCCTTCTGGAAGTGTCATGGAAATGACATGTGTACTTCATGAGGTTGCCCAGTGAGCAAAACACATGAACGGATTTGAATTTCTTTTTCCTTCTGGAGACTGAAAGTCTCTTTCTCATTCCACTCTTTCTCCCTTTCTTGCAAGTGCCTTAACTAAGTGAGCGTTAGTCAGGCACGTTCAGGACAGCGTAGATGTATTTTTATAGCGTTATTGAGATGTGCATCACCAGTAATTAGGTTTGCAGGAGAAGACTATGGTGTAACTGTACAGCAATAACTTGTGAAATATTTTTGCGAAGGATTGAGCAGTTGGTGAAGGCAGAACTACCTAATTCTGGAAAGTGGATGTGGTACCAAGTTGTTGATCGGTGAGAGAGATGCACGCACTGATACTTGCTTTTCTCTGTGTAGTCCAACAGACTTGGTTTATAGGTTTTTCTGCGTGTTTCAGACTTCAGTGTAAAGACTAGCAGTGAAGAACACTATTATAGGTAACGTTTTGCTGTTATTTCGCTATATAACCTTGGACAGGACACTTCATTTCATTCCCTTGTAAAATACCCCTTAAAAGCAGGAACTGTATTTCCTAAGTATGTTGCCATATCCAGCTGAAAAGTGCTATGATATCTAGCTAATAACAATGTATTAGTGGTGCTGTATTTTACAGAATTTAAATTCTGCTTTTGGAGAGTATTTTAATAGGTTAAAAATATCCATAATTATCCATTTTAAATTGTGTGCAAGTTCAAAGTTTTCTCTTTGTAGTACTACAATTAAGCTATATAACTTGCATGTTTTTTATATGTAATTTGAGGTCACACTATCCCTAAACGAACAAAAAGTAAATAAAGGAATTTGGAAGGCTGGGGAGTTAAGGAGTAGTTAGCGGTCAGACATGTTAGTCAAAGTAATCTACATACAGTAAGAGAAGGAAGCAATTCTCTGGTAACCTCGTATTCAGTGGATTACTCTATCAATGAGATTACAATTGAGGTATTAAAGGCAATATAAGGCAAACATAATACATAGATATATTAAGACATCTTACCTATGTGTGAACTCGATAATGAGCTTTTAAAGTTGATTGTCTGTTCCCTGTGCGTATGGAGAATTTGGAGTTTGTCACAGATCTGTACTTTGGAACAATGGGCTAATTGCCATAAAGACTGTGAATGAGGAGAGGAGGCCTAGGTGAATCTTCTTTGTGCACGACGGTGTGCAGGAGACATGCTTGCAGAGCTAGTATTTCCTAGCTTTAAAGGGATTATTTGTATCCTTTACCTTGACAACAGTCACAACGCACCCCAATAGTGCGAGGGCTCAGGCAAATTTTAATCTCTTACATTTCAGAGCTTTTTGTGAATTAGTATTTTCTCTGAAGAACAGAGCTAGCTCTCCATGTCACCTAGAGCTGATGACAGAAGGATGCCTTTAGGCAGCCCTTAGAATTTCTGTGATGATTTGCTGTTAATACATTTTTGTTTACTATTTACATTGCTTGTATTTGTGAGGTTAGCTTAATGAGAGGAGGCACAGTGGTTACATTTTTCTCTGCTCACTTCTGATAGAATGCTAATAATCCATCTCCACCTAGAGGAAGTTTGGTCTGAGTGTTGAAAAGACACCTTTTCTGAGCTAAGCTAACGCAGTGTTTAATTGATGTGCCTTTAGGAGTTTTGGTGAAAACAAAATAGATTTCTCATTAACCTCTCTGCATTCTTTCGTGCTTATCTTTGATAATGATAGTGATGCTTGCATTACTCACAGAAGTAAGTCCCCCCCCACCCCCGTTATTTTTGGAGTTTTTTTTTTCCCTAGAAGACATTTTCATAGTGATATCTTTGATAGGTCACCTTAAATCTTTATTCTACAAAACAAAATATACTCTACAATGAAAATAACCATTCTAAGACCTAACGCTTTACCAGTCTTGTGAATTGGGGGTAGTATTAAATATGCTAATATGTTAGAACACAAGCAGCAAATTAGAGTCATTGCATTTTGAATCTTGAAAATTCAGGTGGATGTCAAATGGCTGATCGGTCCAGTCCATGTATTTACAGAACAGTTGGAAAATGAATATTGGGCTACCCCAGAGGCCAGGTGACTAAAGACCTTTCTGACTTCAGCAGAGTATTGATAGTTTGACTTAACTAAAATGGAGCTTTTGCACATTGTTCCAATTGTCTGTGAAGCATGATTATGTGCTTTCTACACAAGTAGCCACGGTTGGATTTTTACAGCAGTGGTACTTGTGTTTGTCCAATTAGGTTGGATGTATATGATCTTGTGAGCAGTTGCTTCAGTCAGTAAGAATTATTATGGAGAATATTTCAGAAAAGCAGAAAGATTGATAAGTGTGTTTGGCTATTATAAACCCATTAACAATGAATCTATGGGTTAAATGTGACGTATATGAATGTTAATAACTTAACAGGACCTTGTATATTATTTCAAACACATCGTTGCACAGTTTAAGCAATTTGAAATGCTTGTGTGTGTCCATATTGGTAGGCAAAGTTAAAATGAACTTTTAATGGCCTAAATTTGACTGGTGTAAAGCCTGTTTTCTGTCACGTGATTTAGTTAAATAGTTATTTTCTCTCTTCTGGGAGTGAATGACTTGCATTAACAAACATCAGAAGAAACATTATCGTAAGAGAATTACCCTAACTAGGGGAAACATAATTCTTTAAATTCTTTTGTGAGATGTGCAGTATTTTTTATTTTGCTTTTATTTCTTTTCTAAAGTAAGATAAAACAGCATAGCAGAGACATCAAAAATGATTGCTCAATCTTAGTAAGCAGGTATCAAAATTAATTGATGATTCTGTGTAATCTTGCCTTTTTCCTGTAGAAAAACTACGGAGTGAGTAAGACTACCTCTCAAATGTTGCTTTGGAGTGGATGAAGGATGGATGGATGGGGAAAAATAAGTGAAAAGATTCTCAAGCATGATTTTATTACTTTTATTCATCACCTTATATATTTACTCCATATATTAAGTGTGAAGTATGTAATAACACATTATGTAAACAGTATAGCTTTGTTAGTGTTGCATTCACAGCCTTGTCTTTTTATAGAATGTTCTAGGACTCAACTCTGCCTGATGGTCAATTTTGTTTTCTGTTCTGAATGGATGTCTGACTGCAACTCTGATTTATTTTCATTTTTTTAACACTTTTTATTCTGCTCTGACAAAACGCAAAACACCTTGATGTAGAAGTAAAAAGGGAAATCCAGTTACTAAAAGAGGGGAAGAGAATTCTGTCTCTGCTTCCTGGAGATATGGTAAAAGGTACGAAAGCCAAAGGAAAAGCAGGTGCATCAAATGGCAGAGTTCCCAAGATGGGAACAGATAAAATTATGAGCATAAAAGCACAGTGTTCAGTTATATTTTCACTAGGTCATTCCACTTCACTCTGTTGTATTTATTTATTTAAAGCAGTAATGTTCTTCAGAAGTTTCTGTGACTAAACATGGCTGTCTCCAAGCAATAAAATCTTATCTATTGCTTGTATTTTATCTAGATCATTATAAACGCAAAAAATTCCTTCACTCTCTTCTCTATATATATATACACACACATACACACATATATACATACATACACACACACACACATATACATACACATAAATGTTTTTGGGGGGTGGGGGGGGTAATGAAAAATCTATGTTGTAAAACCAAATCGGAAGACACTTCTTGCAGATTTGAGCATGCTCTGAGGAATATGTAGAAGTGGTTGTTAGGGTTGGACACTTGAACTTCGAGCATGCAAAAACCTGCTAGTAGAATACTAGCAATTCCATTGTGTAAGCAGATCCAGTTTAAGGCTCTTCAGTATAAAGGAAAAAAACAAAAACAAAACTCCTAAAGAAAAAATCAACTATGTTAATTGCAAACCAGTGTTTAGTAGCCACTTAGTAGATGAGATCACCCTGAATTCTCAGGTCCACCAGAACAGCAATACTGTGTTCTGTAGTACCTGCCAGTTGAGATTCTCACGTTGCTGTGGCTTCTTTAGATGTTAAATGTCTTTACGTATTGTGGTCAACCCAAGCTCATAGGTCATACGCGCCTTCTGATTTTCTGTTGCCATTTTCTCTCTCGTGCCCTCTTTAATGAGGTCCAGTTTTTCTGGTGTAATGCTGGCTGTGGAAGTCTAAGCAAGAAATTTTGTTTTGTTGCTGGACAGTGACTAAGGCTTTAGTCTGACTTGGCTTTGTTTGAAGATTGTGCTTGCTAAACTTGTTGAACTTGCCGTCTACTTCTGACTCCTGTGCCTTTGCATGGTCTGCTGAAATGGCAGCACTTTGTCCCTCCAGGGCATGAGGATGAGAATCAGTGGTCCTTACAGGCCACAAGTGTTTACACCCATCTCTTCTTGGAGAAGATGAATTGCTGCTGCCTGAAGGGTAGTAGCGGAACTCTGTTGCTGATCGCTTCTCTCTCCCTTTTCACCTTCTGACCGAGAATCTTTCTGTGAAGTGAATCTTTCACTTCAGTCCACAAAGGACTTGGCTGCAGAATGCACTAGTCAAAAAGCGCAGACTTTAGTTCTAAAGTGGAACTATTTTCTTGTCTTTGAAAACTGCTGCATGCTGATAATAGTTTCTGTAAATTCTCTTGAATGATTTGATGAGCAAAAACCCAGAAACT